CTCTGTGTGGTGAATTGGAATTCGTTGTGCCGTTCTATTCGGAAGGTTCACAATACTAAACTGTAGATTTACTGTTAGAGAAAAATTGTACACAAATAATTACCGTGATTTTGTAACGAGAAGGCTAGCTGGCTGGGAAAACGTCTATTGATCCAATTCAAAAACAAGCAATGTATGCGTTCGATTATATACAGTTAATTCTCAACCGCGCGGCCGGATGATTCATGCCTCTTTCTGTTGGTCTTGTTCCGCACTTGGCACGGACGTTGCCTCTTCTTCCGCGTCCCATTCCGACTGATTTGACTCGTTCGCGGCGCGAGATGCGTTAATCGACAGCTCCGACGTTGTGGCATTCGGTGGGNTTTCCCATTAGCTGCGGATTGTCTGTCTAGCTGTAATTGTCGATTCGTTCGTTTCGGGTGGCAGTCAACATTGTCGCGTGAGGCACTTCCCGCCGCTGCCTCTGCGTGTCTGGTTGGATGAGCCCCATTCTTGCTTCGGTCGCTAACCAGGACTCTCTTTGTACTGCCTTCCATCACAATTTGACTGTTACTTTTGGGGCTGGTAGCTACGGAATTCAGGTGTTCATGTACCGCTGTTATCGTGTAGTAACTGGTCATTTGAAATTCGACATCACATAACCGTTGCTGGTCAATTACTTCTGTCGAACCGTCGTCCGATAGTTGCATAACTCGTGAAACGATTAACTCCAAATCCGAGTGACTAAAATTCGATAGTCTGCCTGCACTGTAAGATCAAATTCTATACGAGAACCATTTTCATGGTGCACGGCCAACATTCCGCTCACTCGCGCATTGTGGAATTATGTTTGATTTCTTCTCCACCGATGTACAAAAACGAAACTCAATATTTTCTGTTCATCTTTTCACCCTTTCTCACCGTGCTATCTATCGGGGTCACATCATTCTGCACCTGAATTCAGCGCAACCAAATCGACACAGTGTTGAGGTCAAAATGCGACTTGTCTGGTCACGTGATAGTCACGTGCACGTGGGCACGCATTTTGAGTAGATGTGATTCACACATGTTGGATTACTGATGCGATTGAACACTTTGCACGTGAATAAACTCAAAACAGGATGGGAAGATGTTACGCGATAACAACTTCACAAGCAAACTAAAATATTTATGGTGGGTTGGATATCCTGTACTATGGAAGTTGAACGACATTCTGTTTACTTCAGCAACGAGAGGTAATTTAACTTTGTTTAAGGTGGTGTGTGGAGTGAATATCGTCAGTGCAGATAATTGTTTACGCAATGACATCCTCAGAGCTGTCTCTGATTCCCGTACCAGTTCCCATATCCCAAATTCCCCCACCCAGGCATTCACATAATACAGCAATATTGTTTCCTAATTAGTGGGAATCTTCGTAAACCACACTCCCATTATTGGCAACCTGTCAGCCGACCTTCTCCGTAAAGTTCATCATTTATTTTCAGTTCTTTTTAACATATTTCTCAATCGCGCAACCACTGTAATTTGTGAATCACGCTGAAAATTCACCCACCGGGGTGGACAAAGCATTTCTTGACTTGCTTTGACTTGAAAGAAAGATGGTACTCCAACATGCATACAAACGATAAGCAATCCGTGATGGCTCCACGGCTCAACCGTATTCGTTGTACTGTGTCGAGTGCAAGGTCTCGACATTAGGATGGTACCTTCCACCAGCAATGTCATCAACTTGTCATATCGAAGCTATTTTCTAGCGTAATAGTGTCGCCTTTCATAGTAAGACTAGGACAAGATGCTTATTATCTCGACAAGCTTGCAACCAAAACATGAACCCTGTACATTAAATTTGGGTCATTCTTACCCGAAGGATGTACCGCAATGTCAGAATTTGCACTATAAAGCATAAACACATGCAAGGTGCGTGTACCAATCACTGCATGAATCTGGGAAGTTTGTTGAATGTCATAGTTTTTCTGTTGAAGACCGTACGTTTACGCACACCACTGGCGAATTTATCTTATTCGTGCGATTCTGAGATGACAGCCAGTCTCCCCTTCCGTCCACTGATTTGATCCAAATGAACGGATGCAGGGTTTGGTGATATCAATTTCGAATTCCGATCTGTTTCATAAATTCCGTTTATAAGTTGTGCCTTAGGAGTATTTTTTCAGTTTTGAATCTGAACCAACTGAGGCTTGATGAAACGCTAGCACATCTCATGTTCCAACATAAGTGAAGCTGCGTAAAGCAGTGGAAAACGCACGTATCACGTGGCATTTTACAAAAGAATTGTATGTATCACTGTTTCCTAATCCACCGCACGAACCTATGGGACCA